AGTGATCCCACTTGGAACATCAAGTCTGAGGACGGAAGTGCGGCGTCGATGAAGGCTCTCGAGATGCGCGCAGGTCACCACGACGGCCTGGCCCTTGTGAAGCAACTTCAGACGGTCAAGAAACCCCTCCAGACTGGAGACGGCTTGACCATTCAGGCTTTGGATGATCCAGCCAGGCTCGCCGTCGCCAATCAACATCGGCTCCGTGGACTCGGCCACATAGACGCCGCGAGCAGCCACAGACATGTTGACTGCTTGCACGTATGTTACATCATGGCAGAACAGGCCTCCCAACGATACAAGACGTTTTGGCATGATGTGGTGAAGATTGATGACGTCGATGATACCGAGAACTAGTTGCCCGCTTCGGAGCAAGCTCATAGAAACCTGGCCGTTCACATTCTCGTTGAATGCATCCTCGAGCTCGTCGAACTGGAGCGCGACAGCCCCATTCACCTCGAGAAGAATATCCCCTGGTAGAATCCTCCCGCACGACGGGCCGCCGACCAAAACTTTACTTGCGACGAGCAGCCCACCTGACGCCGTAATCTGCCGGCGAAGTCTTTCCTCCCAGCCCGAGTCCAGCCCTAAACCCTTGCACTCGTAGATTGGTTTCATCACAAACTGACACTGGATGTCACCTCGGTGCACGTCTTGACCTTGGCGTAGACGGCATAAGATTTGGAGAACGGGACCCGTCGGCAGAAGGAAGCATATCGCGCCATCTGTCCGCCTCCCCGAAACCATCCCCAGCACCAAGCCATCTTCACCCAACGCCGGGCTGCCGGATGACCCTCCGCTCAAGTTCATGTTGGCCATGTAATAGCTGATGTTGAAGTCACTGTAGGGTCCGTCGTACTGGGGGGCGTTGCGGTCTGTTCGGCTGATCGCGCCGTCGATGATGCTTGTGGCTTCGCCAGCATCGTTGCCGACCACAAGCACCGGCTGGCCAACTACACAAAACAGTCAGACTTCCTTCGTGCTGTGCCGTACACTAGCTGTAAATTACCGGATGCGCCACCTGAGCTGAGACTTAGACCGTCTATCTTCATATTTCGAATGCTTTCCGGGTCGTACTTGAGAAAGGCAAAA